CTTTTAGAACAGAAATGGGACGGTCATTTTGTAAATGGGGGACTAAAAAAGAATTATTTTCAAATTCTTTGTGCTATCTGGTTTAATACACCTAAAAAAGGTTCAAATTTGTATGAAAAAATCTTAGAAATTTCCTATAAAAGTTATAAATTTATATAAAAATTCTAAAATATTATATAAAAAATTCTGAGAAATGTTCCAATTCGTGTAAAAAATCTGAAAAACTTTCTAAAAAAGTTGTTCCGTGTTAGCCCGCTATCGGAAGGCGTCGACCGGTTATTCGCGCCACAAGTCAAGCGCCGGTTGAGAGCCGCTGCCACAAGCGCGACTCGCTCAACGCAGCGCATGGAGCACGCGTGCTCCGCTTGTTTGTCGATCGATCCACCCTCGTGCGATCGTCGCCGGCCGGCATGTCTGCGCGATAGATGATTTTTCACCTATCGCGCACCTGTGTCAGAGGGCAAACTCCGATCGACGCTCCGGTTTTACCGTCGAAGAAACACTTGCGTACCGATCGTGATTCGGCGACGTCGTCCGCGACTTGTCAATCTAACGGCGATTCTCCGTATTAAAATCTTTGTAAGCTTTATATGTGTGATAGTGTGCTCAAATAAAAGTTTTGTATAAGTTCGTTTAAACCATACACGTCTTATATAGTTCGTTAACACCATCCTCCATTCCTGACTCCTCATATACGAGTATATCAGCTACGCGGAACGCCCGTGACGCGACAAAAGTTATAAAATTTATATAGAAATTCTGAAAAATTTTGAAAAATTATATAAAAAATTCTAAAATAAATTTTCGCCAGGGAATAAACACTCATTACGTGGAAATCACATGGGAATTAATCCATCTTTTTCGAGAAGTCGACAAATCTTTCAAAAGGTAAGATATTGCGTGCGTGCGTGCGTGCGCGCGTGCGTGCGTGCGTGCGTGTGTCATACTCTGTGCTATTATACTTATAAAGATTCCTATTCACCACTGTCTTAATTTTTGACGTTAGAATATTCGAAAATACACAATAAAAAATGTTGCAAAATATATTTAAATAAAAAAAATGTTTTTTTAAAACACGATTCGTAAAACTGGCTTATAAAATATACTGAAAATTATGTATTTTGTTAATAATTAATCGTATCTATCTGACAATGAATGATTTATAAATCAAAAGTAAAAAGAATAAATCTCGTTTGCAAAAGATTTGTTAAAAACTAATACTGAAAAGTAATTACATCATATTGTATCTGCACTTTCAATATTAACACTTCACATACGAAAATGTAAAATTAACTTAATATTTATGTAAAATTTCTATCAATTATTTTAACTTTTAATAGTATTAAATATTTGAAGAGAGAAAAAATGTTACGTTATTACAGAGAAAACGACATAAGTTATGTTACAGTTGTATTAAATTAATATAGAAATAAATGTAATTTAATTTCTGTCCAAAACAAACACATCATTTCCGATACATTTTATTGCTTCATCAATTGCAAATTTTTTTACTGTAAATAAAACATTTGCAATCGATAGAGCAGTAAAATGTATTGGAAACGATTTTTTTTTTAGAGAAATTAAATCACATTTATTTTTATATTAATTTGACAGTTATTACAACTGCAACATAACTTATGTCATTTTGGGTTATGAATAGTTCATTGTCAGTTAGATATGGTTAATTATTAACAAAATAGATAGTTTTTGGTATATTTAACAAGTCAGTTTTATGAATCCTGTTTCAATTCTTTTTATTTAAATATATTTGCAACATTTTTGCCAGTATATTTTCTTCTTGCTTCTGACGTCACAATTTAATTACTGGGTAAAGTTGGCTATTACCCCCTCTCCAGAGTTATTTGGTTTTATTTCATTTTTTGAAGCTAGCGATCTATGTTTTATATTGAAATCTGTGGTTCCAAAACTTTATTTTGAATAACGTTTATTTTTACTAATGTAGATTTACTTTAATTTCAATTTAACTTACTATCTTTTTCTAGTTCTAAGAATTGAAAATAAATTTGAATATATAATAATGTCTATATACATATTAATATAATAATCTATATTAATGTGTATATAGACATTAAACATATTATATATTAAACATATTATTGTATATTAAAATCCATTTTCAATTTTTACAACTAGAAAAAGATAAGAGCTAAATCGAGATTAAAATAAATCTACATTCGTAAAATAGACTTTAAAAATAGTCATAATACAATTTTGAAATCTATCTCAATCTATATTACAGCTGTATATACACATCGACATAATTTGTGTTTTATATAAATATAGAAAAGTTAAATCGCGGAATCCTAAAAATTATTGTATTATTTCATAAAATATGTAGTAAGTATTCCAGATATTTTATTCTTAATTATATTCAAATTACATCAATAGTCAACTGCTTCAATGCACACAAATGCATCCAATAAATTTGTTTTAAATATATTGTACATCACATTAATATGCACATACATATTAATACACATATTTATTATATTTATTATATACATATTTATACTATTATCTTTTTCTATTATCTTTTTGGAGTTCTGAAAATTGAAAATTGGTTTGAATATATTTAATGTTTACATACATATTAAATATATATAATTAATATTATATTAATATGTATTAATACACATATTTATTATGTGTATACCTTCATTTTCAGCATTGATAAGAAAAAGCTGATCATTATGCCTAAAGATATACGGTATTTGTCTAAAAAACGATATAATCAATTACTTAAAAACGAAATAAATACTTATATTGAACCTATTTCATTTAATCGTGTCAAATCAATTGCTGTGTCGAATGAAACTTCTGATATAGTACAAGAAGCGGCAATTACTTTTGAAACTTCCAATGTATCATCATGTACAAATAATACATTGGAAGAAGATGCGAGTCAAGTATATGACGAAACTTTAGAATCGCGATCTAATGCAGAAAGCAATGAAGAGCTAATAATGAATTTGCATATTGAAAGAAATAATATTGAATTTCAAAAAAATTATCTTGAAGGGACAGATAGCGACAATGCTAATGAAAAAAGTTTTAAAGAAGATTTGTAAACGTTAGTTATTGATCACATAACATTCCACACAATATTGTAAATGAATTACTTCGAATTTTAAAAAAACATGATCATTTTGAATTGCCTAGTGATGCTCGAGTTTTAATGACAACGCCGCGAAATGCATCCGTAAATATAAAATCTCTCGGCAGTGGTCATTATGTACATTTTGGTCTTTCCTCTGGTCTGGAGCGATGTATAAAAATATATAAAGATTGTATAAAAAATAATAATATAAGATTAAACATAAATGTAGACGGTTTACTGATTTCTAAAAGTTCTGGTAGTCAATTTTGGCCTATTGTGGCGTCCATTGAAAACATTAATGTTTATACATTGCCATTCATAATTGGTATATATCATGGTATGTGTAAACCTTATGATGCAAACAAATTTTTATCAGATTTTGTAAATAAATTTCTCTATCTTTCTCAAAGTGGTTTAGTTGTTTCCAATAAGAAATATACTATTAGTTTTAACGCAATAGTTTGTGATGCTCCAGCTAGATAATTTATAACATGCATAAAAGGTCATACTGGATATTTTTCATGTTCAAGATGTATACAAGAGGGCGATTTTGTACGTAATAGAGTAACTTTTCCTGAAACTAATTGCACTTTACGTACAAATGAAAGCTTCAAACATCGAACTCAAGTTGAACATCATATTGGCAATTCTCTTCTTGAGAAACTTTCTATCGATATGGTATCGCAAATACTGTTGGATTATATGCACCTTGTTTGTTTAGGTGTTGTGAAACGATTGCTACAATTATGACTAAGAGGTTGCAAAAATGTCAGATTATCAACAGTGTCGCGAGGCCGATGCCCCCGCAACAACAATAAGCATTGTGAAAATCAATTAATAGCCATTCGAGCTGACGAGGCATTCGGCGTAAAATAAATAATATCGTTGTATTAAGAAATTACGATAAATCAGGACGTTGACCGCAACGTACCGAGAACGCGCAATGCAATTGCCGAAATGCTGAGCGCTGACGCGGCAACGCGTAGCCATAAGTACGCGCAACGATCAGCCGCGAGCGGTCAGTCCTTAAGTCCGTCATATTCACGTTCGAGCACGACGGTCGTGTCGTGAAAGTTATTCTGTCTATAATAGTTAAGGTGAAGATGTTAAACAAAATAAAGTCTGTGAAATTAAGGTGAAATAAAAAGTGGTTATATTTTAAAAGAATAACAGAGTGTCGGAGTTATTGAATACAAGTGTAATCCCGTTCCCCCGCGGAGTCGGATCCTCTTATTGTGCCCCTCAATCACCCGGGCACAACAACAGAAAATATCAATAAAGTTTCCTATTACTTAGATGAAATCAAGTCTTGCATACCATCAGAATTTGCAAGAAAACCTAGAAGTTTACATGATTTAGACAGGTAGAAAGCTACAGAATTTCGGCAATTTTTATTGTATACTGGCATTGTTGTTATGAAATCTGTATTAGCACCTAAGCTTTATAATCATTTTCTTGCTCTAAGTATTGCAATAAGAATATTAGCTGATCCGCAATTATGTATAAAATTTAATGCTTATGCAAATTCATTATTGTTATGGTTTGTGTCAAACTATGGAGATATTTATGGTTATGAATATCTGTCATACAATGTTCATAATCTCGTTCATCTTGCTAATGATGTTATAACGTTTGGTTGTTTAAAAAATTTAAGTTGTTTTAAATTCGAAAATCATATGCAAAAAATAAAACAAAAATTACATGCATCGGGAAAACATTTACAGAAAATATCAAATCGTTTATTCGAAGAATTACAGATTCCAATTCAACCGTATCGTATGGAACAATATCCAATTGTTATTTATTAACGACTAAGGATATTAGGACGACTTTAATGACTAAGGATATTATTTCTTACCTCCAATTTAAAAACTTCAAAATTTCTCTTAATGATATTGATAATTGTGTTTTGCTTTATGATAAATCTGTAGCATTTATTTCAAATATTTAAAATGGATAATGTATTAGTTGTTCGTGCACGACGTTTTTTAAATCCGACATCTTTGTTTACTGTTCCATGCGCTTCGGAAAGACTTGACATATTTGTAATATCGAACAGTACTACTTCAGATATTCAATTTCCAATAGTACAAATTCAAAGAAAGTGTTTGAAAGTAAAGAGTATCGATATTGATTTACATATTGTAATTCCGCTTCTTGCCAATAATTAAATACATAACAATTTTAACTACATGTTTTTTAATAGTAATGTTAAGACATTCGTCTTTATGATAAATATTGTACATTTGTTGAATTTGTAAGGACAACAAATCTATAAGGTGAGCAAGAAGTAACGAAAATAATAACAGAAATAATAATTATAGTTTTGGTGTTGTTTATTAATATTTTTATTTGTTTACGTTTTATTTATTTAATAATGTTTTTAATTTTTAATTCTGGTTTTTTACTGAAATTAAAAATTTTAATTATATATGAAATTATTACGTAGCCTGATAATTGTATTGATAAATATTAGTTAAAGCAATATTTATTATTATATCTATAAAAATACACATTTTTTTACATATTAAGTTCAGTAATAATTTGTATTAATTCTAAATTATTATTTGATCTTTCTAGATTTGTTTATGTATAAAGAAAATGGATTCGAATTCAGAAACCAAAAAATACGCGGTGGTTGAATTTCTGTCAGATTCGATATTTTCGGAAATGCCAACAAATTGGCTTATAAAAAATGGTGGTGATTATCAATGTTGGTGGCCACCACGGGCCTTAAACAATGCAATGTTAATTGCTTATGCAATTAATCCAAACTTCAAACTGTGGAAAAAATATGACGTGAACGTCATAAAATACTGTTGTAAGTATATTTTTTTAATAGAATGTTTTTATAAATTAGTAGGCCTTAAATGTTCGAGCATGTTTATTAAGTACTGTTTTTTTATTTTTTTATTGTAGCTACATTTGAATCGGCGCGAAAGAGTGCATCCGATGCGAATTACATAACGATGGATGAGGAGAGATTGGGTCGAGGAAAGAGACAACATGTTTATTTTCAACCGTACTCTAGTTCTGAGGAAAATGATGAATTAGGAGAATGCGAAAAAATTAGACGAACTAAGAGTACGTATGTGTATAAAAATAAATGTGTATATTCTAAACTGTTTTAAATTCTATGATATTTCAAAATTCTATTGTAATTGTAATTTTCTGCTGTTTTTTATTATAATTCTACAAATCATAATACTTGTAATCTATTAATTTTTTTTACAGAAAATCGAATCCAATCGGATCCTCTTTCCAGACCACCATCGTGTCCCGACGACTTAGAACTTTCTCAGGACATACAAGATGAAAACACAAAAAATGGAGACAATGTCACATTAACACAAAATAAAGAGTCAAGAGTACACTCTGGTACGTAATTAATATATTGCACAAGGCGCGCACACACAAGATTGTGTATATTATACAGGTTTTAAAAATATTTATATTTTTTATCAACAAATATCTATTAGATGTGGCTTATATTTAAAGTAAATTTTATTTATTACTTAAAAATTAGAATTGCTAAGTACATACGATGATTGTTGCAAATTTTGAAATAAATTTTATGAACAAAAACTTACCGTTTTGATTGTAAATATTTCTTATCTTAAACTGTTAAATTATATGCTCGACCACATTTATTAGATTATAAAATACTGATTTTAATTTTTTTATTTATAATTACCCTTGAATTGACGCAGTATTTTTGACATCAAATTTTAGACAAGATGCTATTCTGTCATAAGTTTTAATAAGACTTTAATATTATAAAATATAATAATTATGATAATTGTTGCAGCTTCAAAAGAAATGAATTTATCGACAATTGATGATTACCGCAGTTTTGTCCATACACCAGATATACATATTTCATTGCAAGATGTACCTATAATAATAGAAGGTACATACATTGCTTAATGAACAAGAATTAATTTTGTCAATAATATTACATGTATGAAAATGTTTTAGATTGTGCTTCTCAGTTAACTCGTGTTCAAACAGACGAAAATTGGAATATGAGAGGTATATAATTTTTATTATTACTAATATTACAAACGCGCGCTTTGCGCGTGTTATTTAATATTTTTTATTTTTCACTATACTTGTTATTACACTTTAGCACAACTCAATACACACAACTGTCAATGTAATGACAACCACTCACACGAAATAGCGCAGCTATTTCAAGACAGCCAATTGGCGTTGCGGAAAAGCAACAACAATGTTTCGAGAAATGCGAGTATGGATTTTTTTTTTTTTATTTTTGTTATACACATACACACACACACCCAAGTACACATACACATACTCACTCATTCACAAGATCAATTTTATTGCAGAAAGCTTCAAAGAGTTAAAACGTATGTTAGCAGCAAACAATATAACATTAAAAGATGCTGTTGAACGATTAAAGAAAATTGAAGATATAATTAGAAGCCGTACATTGCAACAGCCATTGGAAAATGACGACAGTTTTATTGCCCCATTTTTTCCTCTTAGCACAATTCAAAATATTAAAGATTTCGAAAATACATTAACAACTACAGAAGAAGCAATGACGCAATTCGTAAGTTTTTATTTATTTGTTATTTACATATGGATTTGATATAGTATATTAAAACATTGGTCACGAAACTTGCTTGATAATATATAAAGAAAGAATACGAACAATTATATAATCTATAATTGGGTAATTAGTACGATTAGTTTTTATAAGAGTGTCTGTTAGTAATAATCTGTTATATAATAATTACTACTGAGATAATTTTAACTTTGTTTCTCATTTGTTGAAATATGTTCGTTAATTCACAATTTTTAATTCTTAATATGATATAGTCTTAGCTTTAAAAAATTCTTTTTCTTTATATATTATATTTTTATTTTCAAATTGTTTTTTTATTTAAAAAATGCGTTTAAAAAAACATAAAAAACAAGAAATTTCACTTGTAGAACAGAAAAGATATATACGTTTTAATATTAAAAGTGATCTTAGAATTTTTAAGTTGTATCAATATTGATAAATAAGTGTTATAAACTTTTTTGAATTTGAACATCAAACTAGCTTTTTTTATATAAAATAGATAATAGTTTTATTTAATTTAAAATATGTGAACTAATAAAAGAAGTGTCTTTACAGAAAAGATTTCTTATAAAAATTGGTGGACATAATCCGAAGGATAATATACATCGGATTTTAAAGAATATTTACACAAACAAATGTGCCATGGATTGTTCATGGAAAGGAAAAAGAGATAACTTTAAAATTTGCGACTTAAAGATGATAAAAATAATGAAAAGTATGTTTCAAAATATTATAAAATATACAAAATGTGTATTGAAGTATTAAAACTTATTATCATTTGTTTATATAATTTTTATTTCTCTTGTATTATAGGAGAAGTTATCTCACGTCATATGACATTGACAGAAGCGGAATTTGAGGCTATTGTTGCGGAATGGCTACGTTTTGCCAAACAACGAAGAGGAAGAGATGATAAGAAGAATGGTCCCAGCGATGTAAATATTGATGAATAGCGTTGAGTATATAACAGTGTAGTTTTCCTTAACCTACGAGGTAAGTATAATCGACGAGATCTGGTATGTCATACTACAATTTATCATCCTCTGCTATTTTGAATTTAGAATTCTATATTTTTTCTTTTATTTAATTACAATTTTTATAAAATTAATTTTGAGATTTGAATTTCTTTTTAAATTGCTGACGATATTAGCTCACCTCGAGGGAAGGGAAAATATTACACATACTGAATCTCATAAATATTTATTTTGCGTTGGAGTTATTTTTTTACAGAATTTTGGCTTTTTTGTTTTATTTAAAAGATAGTTCAATGTTAAAATTGATAAAAGTATATATCTGACAATATTGATACAATTCTGAAATTCTAAGATCACTTGTCAATGCTCAAACGTACGTGTCTTTTCTGTTCCACAAGTGAAATTTCAATGTTTTTTGTGTGAAACTTTTGTTTTTAAACGCATTTAAGTTTCTATATTGTGCTTAGAATCAGAGATTGTACAATATAATTTTATGTAAATATTTGATATGAAAGTTTCTTTGAATGCATTTAAATACTTTTAAAAAATATGTCGATATTCCAAATATCTTGCAATTACTAATGCAATCGGGGCAATCGGTTCTCTTCGGAAGGTATAGAGATAAACGCGATAACTTCGATTTTTGTTTGGTCATTAAATCGATCTAACAATTAAAGAAAAACGTTAAATGCGTATACATGCTACTGCTGCCGTTACTATTATAGCTACTATTATTACTGTTATTACTATAAATTACTGCTACTGCTATATTAGTACCAGCTCTCTACCGTTACAAAACTATCAATATTATTTAGATCTACAGAGACGAGATAATCACATGCGTATCATGAGATACGTCCTTTTCTAATTTTAATTGAATTTAAAAGACACAACTTATTGTAAGTGCCAAGTTATATGTTTAATAGAAATAATAATTTTCTTTTTTCTCCATTTTTTTATTGTGTCAAAACAAATTTAAAAAATGGATTTTTACTAAAGTCGTCCTCTATTATTATTTTCACTTCATCTTCCTTCCCCTCCATCCGCTCCTTTAAACCTTTTAGCTACTCTCCATATTCCCATTTACATATACTACTACAATTCTCCATCTTTCCTTCTACTCTTATCATACAATTTATCCTCCCTTTTTTTCTTCTCCACTTCTTCTATTATTATTTCTTCTTTGATTCCCACAACATTCCATCACATGCTCTCCTCTTCCTATTTCTTCTTTTTGCTGAATCTGAATCCTCCACTTATATCCCCTCGGTAATCTCTTTTTCAATCTCTCCCACCTTCTTCTCTCTACCCATGTTTCCATTAACATTCACATTCCATTTTTCTATTCCTTTCCCGAATTCCTAATCCTTCTTTCCTACTCCTGCAATATTCCACAACGCCACTTTTCATATCCCTCTTCCTCCTCTACCCTCTTCATTTTCTTTCTTTTATCCTTCTTTTCTTTCTCCTTCCCCTTTGTTTTCTCCGCTCTCCTCCTTTCGTATTTCCTCTTCCTCTATTTTCCTGCTTTCTCTCCCTTCCATCCCTACTCCTTCCCCTTGCTTCCTCCATATCCGTTCCTCTCTGTCCTTTAGTACTTTTTCCTCCTCCCATTTCCACCATTTTCCTTCTATCTGTATCTTCCCCTATCCAATTCCTACTTTTCTCCCTTTTCCTCTCTCCTCTGCTGCTATTTCTTCTAATAACCATTTCCTCTTCCTTTCTTTCCACGTTAAGTCATTTTCTACTCTAATTCTTTCTCCTTTAGCTTCCTTCTCTTTATCATTAATTCTTTTTTCTGTTCTAATTTGTCGCACTTGACTACTACTATCACTCCTTCTCCCTTTTCATTTCCTATTTTCTTCTACTCTTTTATCTTTAATTCTAATCCTACTTCTTTAACTATCCTCTCTACTTCTTTCTTTATTCCCTTTTTTATCTCTTTTGATCCCTGTTATTATTATATTTTTCCTTCTCTCTTCCCTTTCTCTTGTCTTTAATTTTCTCTCCATCCCTCTTATTATTTCTTCAATCTTTCCTCCTCTCTCTTTCCTTCTCACTTTTCCTTTTTCTATTCGTGTCTCTTTAATCTACCTCTCTAATTCTTCTATTCTCCCTTCCATTTCTCTTTTCTCTTTTTCCCATTTCCTCTCTTTCTCTCAGCTGCTTTACATTTTCCTATTTTTCTTCTATTTCTTTCTTATCTCGTTTTTTAGTTCTAGCTATAAGTTACATGTTTTTTTTCTCCCTTTTTTATTGCATCCAAACACATTAAAAAAATGGATTTTTATTAAATAAATTTTGTTTGCATAACATGTCGCAGAATGTTCTGTAAAGAAAAAAGTCACATTCCCGACAGGCAACCCGTGAGTATTATCTATTAGCCCAGTATATAAAGGTATGCATGAAAGTAAAATAAGAAAGTATTTAAGTGATTCTCTCAAGTTTTATACATTAGATCAAAATCTTTTATTTCTCAGACAAATGGACTATATAATTTTCTTTTTATTTGTCTATATTTTCTCGCGTAAGAGGACCTTCCGAAAAGGATTGATTGCCCTGATCGCATTAGTAGTTGCAATATAATATTTTGAATACCGACATATTTTACGATATTTTGAAACGAAACGTAGAGATGTTCCGTGTCCAATATCTTCCCATATATATCAACAAAATATTTGCTAAAATTATCTGAGGCACGATCGCATCACCTCTCGACGATCTCCACTGACAACTAATTAGCCTTGAACATAAAAAAAGGAAAAAAGAATTAGATTGAAAAAGAAAAAATAGCCGATAGATTTATTATATTCAGATGCATAAATTAGCAATTAGTGTGACCTACGTTGAATGTATAGTTCGTGCCATTAATGCCTGGGGTTCGATTTTAGGATCCCTGTTTTGTTCTTAGTTATTTTTACGTCCATAACTAAGTTGCGTCTGTAAAAGTGCATCAGTAAAGTGCAAAGTGTGTTTTGACAGCCAGCCGATGTAACCTCAGTTTTGAATGTTTTGGTCAAAGCGCTATATAACCTTGCAAAAAGGTTAAAGGCGCTATAATCCACCGGCCGGTGGGGTAAAACGGAAAAAAAGTTTTAAAATTTCCAAAATATTCCAAAAATTAATTGGATCAAAAGAAGCGGATTGAAGCTTTCAATATATCAGATAAGTTGTAGTTTTGAAAAAGTAAAATTACTATTACTTGATAATAAGAAAATAGGAAAATATACTTTGTGAGCTGTCTTTCTTTACAGTAATAATAAATAAGCGAAAAGGTAGTGAAGAACGGAGTGGCGATAAGCATTTTATTGGAGGCAAGCACAGAAAAGTCTAATTAAAATCTCGTCAATTGGGAGTAATGACTAATGTATGTAGAAGCATATCACTGTATTCCCGTCTTCATATACGAAAAGACAGATTTACTTTAGCTGAAATTAATACTGTAAGTAGCTAGTAAGGGCGGGTTCTAATCCATGGGGCTATGAGGGGGGGTGAGGGGCAGGGGGTCCGCGGGAGGGGGGGGATCCGCGGGGAGGGGGAAGCCGCGGGGGAGGGGGAAACCGCTCAAAACGTTCACGGTCTGATGCGGGGTCCGCGGGGAGGGGGAAGCCGCGGAAAGCCGCTCGCTCAGCTGGCCTAACCGC